GTAAATGAAGGCAAATAGAAGTTAAGTGACTTACACAGTCACTTAACCCACTATTTGGTTAAGTCACACAGCTAGTAATTGTCTGAGGCTGGATTTGAACTCAGATCTTCCTGACAATAGGCCCAGCCCTCTATCCCCTGAGCCACCTAGCTGCTCCTTCTATTACCTTTAGGATTAATTAAAAACTACTGTTTGGCTTTTAAATCATTTCATGACCAGGCTTCCATCTACTTTTCCAACCTGGTTAGTCATTATTCACCTTCTAGCACTCTGCAGTCTAGTCAGACTGGCTTTCTGTTCCTCCCATACATTTCCCTTTTCTGTCCTTTGCACTGGTTGTCCCCTGTGCCTAGAATGCACTACCTCTGAATCTTCATTTCTAGTAAATTTTGTTTCCTTCAAATCTAGGCTCAAATACAAATTACTGCATGAAGGTTTTTCTAACATTAGAGTGCTAGTGGCTTTCACCTCTCCAACCCCTCCAATTACCTTGTATTTATTTCGCGTATGTTTATGTTTTCCCTCATTGCTCCCCCCAACCCTCAATATCATTCGTGGAAACTCCTTGAGGACTGAGATTGTTTCATGATTGATTTGCCAATCAGATGGATGAGGTGGAGCCTCAGAGTTGTTTTAATGTGCTTTTCTCTTATTAGTATTGGAACACTCTTTCATATAGTTGTTGGGTTATTAGTGCATATTTCATTTGAAAACTCCTTGTGCAGATACTCTAATTAGAGAATGTATGTGTGTGTGTGTGCATGTGTAATATGTGTGTGAATTTCCTATATGTCTTAGTTGTCAGACCTTTATCAATATTAGCTACAAAGGTTTTGTCCCAGGTAACTGTTTCTTTTCTACTTCTATCTTCATTAATTTTGTTTGTGAAAAAGCATTTCAATTTTGTAATCAAAATTATTCATTTTATCTTTGATGATCCCCTCTCTCCCTTTATGTATCCATTCTCTACCTAGTCATGGTTGTGAATAGTATTTCCTTCCTTTCTTCTCTAATTTTCATGATAAGACTTTTTATATTAACTTTATATATCCATTTCCTGCTTTTCCTTCTTCGGTTTATTGACTCTCAATCCTTAATGACCTCACACTCCCCATCAGGACCTACTGTGTCATTTTTATTGCTTGCTTGTGGCCCAGACAAGCTCTGCCTAGGAGATAATCTTCTAGCATGAAGGCACATCAATTCACTACTGGTGGAGTTGTGAATTGGGCCAGCAATGTCAGAAAATGATTTGAATTATGCAAAAAAATTGCAAAAGTTTTCAGACTCTTTGACCTAGCAATCCATTGATAATAAGAAAACCCCAACTGATACAAAATACTCATAGTACTATGTACCTGACAACTGTGGGATCCCTGAACAAATTGTGATTTATGAACATATTAAAGGAACATTCTTTTGCCTTACGGAATGAAATATGGGAAGACTTGCAGGAACTGAATAAAGAAGAACCAAAAGAACAATTACTCCATTAATGTAAATTACATTTTTAAATGCCAAAAAAACTTCAATTTAAAAAATTGGTTAATGTTGGTACTAACTTATAAAACATACATTTCATTTTTAACAAACAGAAAAATAGTGATATTAGGTACATGTATAATCAGATACAATCATTCTCTTGTTTTACTTAACTGTTCTGGGGGAGAAAATACTCTCATAGCTACAAAGAGAAGAATGTTAAGTATCCAAATTATTTACATTTTTTTTTTCAGATTTCCTCCTGTCCCTGACTTTACTTCACTACCTAAATATAGGATAGGTTCCCTCTAATGTTTTCCTACTCTTACGTTCTCCCTGTGCCACAAGACTTTTAATTGCATTATTTTGTTTGCTGGCACAATTATTATATTTTTGTTATTTATTACTATTTTTAAACTACAACATTAATTTTTTGACATCCTAGAATGCATACCGTTGCCTTAGGCAACAAAACTTATGGGAACAAAGATTTCAGAATGCTGATCAAAGCAGTGAAAAATAATGACTTCAAGAGATTGATGATGAAACACACCTCCCATTTTTTGACAGAGAAGATGGAAAAGAAATGCACAAGGAGATAGGCATTCTCAGACATGGCCAATGTACTGACCTTTTTTTTTTTCCTGGACTATACATATTTGTTATAAGGGAAGGATTCTATTGGAGGGAGAAGGTAAGTTAGTAGGTAGCAATATTTACACTCAAAAAAGCATCCAAAAACATTTTTAAATGCATGGAAGAAAACTGCAAAAGGGGATACAAACAGAACTGTGTTATTAATTTGTTAAATTATGTATTTTTCAGTATATATGGATATTCGTGTGTCTCTGTGTGTGTGTGTGAACAAACATAAACACACAAACACCCTACTCAGATGGATCTGTGATTTCATCAATTTGGGAGTTCTTTACAATAATGAAAATTGCATCCCATCTGTGCTTGTCCATCCTGTGCAATTCATCCATGTTTTCCCACAGGTTCCCCACAAGGTTCACCCAATGTGCTAGAGCCTTTCTTCTCCTTTGCCTGACACTGCAAAGGTATCAGTGGAACACTTTCTTCCTTCACACGACCAGCACATCTGCTCTTCCTATCATAATTCCTTGATATCTTTTACTCCTGTTCTTCAGAGTTCCTCAATGCTCATATATTGCATTCTGCTCACACCCACCATGATCCTCTTCAATTCCCTCTATGTGATGCCCACGTTTAGTTCTTCAAAGGCAGTTGTATTCCATGGCTTAATACCATATAGTAACACCCTGAGCATCTAGGGTGAAAGGAAAGGACAAGTATCCCCAATAATTAGGATGCAAGTGAGAACAAGATGAATGCAAAGTAAAGATCCAGGCAAAATGCTAAGAAAAATTTGAAGAAGGAGGGATATTGGTTGTACTATATATTACTAGGGATAGTAATGCTTGCATACTTGTGTTCCTTCTTCAGTCAGGTGGAGTGATTCTATTTCTTCATGAAGGTAGAAACTGAGTGGGACCTTCCCCAAATAGAGGGCAAAAAGGAGTATATTCCATGCATGGGAAAAGCATAAGCAAAGGCATAAAGATTCAGATGGCATTAAGAATGAGTAGTCCAGTTTGGCTAACATAAGCAATATGTGAAGGTGACTGTGAATATGTGCAGGTAAATTATGAACTCCTTGAGGTCAGATTTTCACTTTGCCTTTGTTATACTTTGTCCCTAGCTCAGTGCCTTCAATACAGAAGGTGCTTAATAAACACTTGTTGGATTGAATCCATTGGGTATAGTGTGAATTAAGGTTAGGCTGATAGACAGTGGACTCAGACTGTGAAAATCCTTAAAATGTCAGGCAGGGGCTTATACTTTATTTTGGAGGCAATGGGGAGTCACCAACAGATAAGTAGTGGGCCATGATCAGAACGGTCAAGGCATTAAGAGAGGAAGTATAGCTACATGGAGAGTTAACCTTAAGGGCAAGAAAATCTCTGTTGAAGTGCAGCCTCAGAAATATGGATGTGTGACTCTGGACAACTGACTTAGCCTCTCAGTGTTCTAGATAATTCTTAAAACCTATAAATTGTGAAGGTGCTAACCTAAATAATACAGGGACTTTTCTCAAAAGGAATTCCTCATACCAATGAAATAACAGGTCTGGTCCCTATTCTTATCTGTGGCAGAAGTGTCAAGGACACTTTGAAGTTGCTTCAGGGGCAGCAAAACCTGTAAGGGGGCTATTTCAATGGTCCAGGTGAAAAGTTTTGAGGTTCTGTACCTGAATGATTTCAGAAGGAGTGAAATGCTGGGATGGTGGCAAGACATATTGCAGGAGTACAAAGAGGCTGGCAATTGCTTGGATGTGTAGAGTTAGAGAGGAATCAGGGATGTCTCCAAGATTAGGCGCCTGAGATTCTGGGATGGTGGTAGTGCCATTAACAGAAATAATAAGGAGGAGTCAGCTTCGGTCCAGATTTTAAAAATGCTCTTATTAAGCAAGAATGGTACTGTAGTGGGTTTCAAGGAAACCTATAAAATAGGTTTCAGTTCATGCTGCATTTAGCCAGTATTAACTCCCCACTCCTCCCGCCCCCAACTTAAGAGGAAAATGCAATCACAACAGAGTCACAGTTCCAACATCAACAGAAGGGAGAAGAAAAAAATAATACTAAGTCTTGTTAGCATCCCAAGATGAAAGAGTTGTGACGAGGCCAGCTAACATGAGCCTTGAAAACATCCTAGACACATAATTGGAAATGACCTTAAAAGCTATCTACTCCAATACCTTCAAGTGCCTTCCCCTAAGGTTCCACAGATACTAAGTGGAAGATCTGAGGTTGGAACCCACGTCCTCTCACTCCAAGTCCACTTGTAATAATGGAGCTGACAGAGGTGAAGACTTGGAATCAGGAACACAGGTTCGAAGCCTCTCTCTGACGACGGCGTGCACCTCAACGAGTCATTTAACCTCTCTGGCCACAGTCTCCTCATCTGTAAAATGAAGTGGGGCCAGAATCGATGACTAAAGGCCAGCTCTAAATCTCTATTCAGTTCCCGTTCTGTCCCAATGGTCCCAGGGAGAGGGAAAACCTGGAGACTTTCAGTGCCAGGACGTGACCGGAAGGAGCTCATCTGGCGACAGGCTGTGACCCCGGCCGTCCCTCTCCGCCCTAGGGGTGAGGTTTCAGGACTTTTCTTGGGCTAAAGGGATGGATAAACGCTGCGGAAGCAGAGAGCTCGATAATTAAACGGCTAAAGACCTAAGAGTCATAGGCGGAGATTGCTGGGTGGGTGGGGTGGGTGGATACCAACATTAGCGAGAAAGGACGTCTGCTCTCTTCCACGACCTGCAGGACACAGAACCTGAAAAGAACTAAGTGAACAAACGATGGCGCAAGCGCAGGTCACACAAAGCAACTTCTGGACTCAAGCTCCCAAGGAAAGTACCGCGGCGCGGCTAATTCTACCTCATTTCCGGCGCCCTTTTGGGTAACCGGAAATTAGAAATTGCGCTTGCGCGTAGGGGCGCTTCCAGCTACCTTCTGCAGGTCTCTTTCCTGCGCCCTCGGACACGTGTGGCCGGGGAACATGGGTGCTCTGGGAGAGGAGAAGGAAACTCAGCTCGTGTCGCACGAGCAGGTAGCACTGGGCGGCGACGCAGGACATATGTGCTTCTGGGGCTGCGGTTGGGCGACCGGGATGGGGGTGGACCCTGGCACAGGCCGCAGCCTCCGGGTGAGGCTGCAACCTGAGGCGGCGAAGCGGGGCTGGCCCGGGCCCGGAGCCCCCGCGGCGTTGTTCTCTAGGCTTCCCTCTGTAAGGAGCGCGTTTTCTCGACACGCCCCCGCCCGTCTCCTTGCTGGCGAGCGTGACGAGGAGAAGGGGCCCTGTGGCCGGGCCGGGCGGGCTCCCGAGATCGTCGTCCGCCCTCTTCGCCGTCTTCCTGCGGCCGCCTGAAACCACCGCAGCCCCGGGCCTGTGATTGTGTTGTCGGTGGCCCGAGGTAGCAGGCTTAGGGTAGAGCTTGGGGCCCGGTCTGATCGGACTGACCCATCCGTCTGTCCATTTGTTGCTTGACGTCCACCTGCTGCGTAGTGTCCCACCTCCATCCCCTTCCTAGACTCGGCTCTCCCCTGTTTTACAGGTTTCTTTTGCTTTTTCTGTGTCATCCATCTCTCTCCCCTTCCCCCCATTAAATGGCCACCTCTGCCTAGACCATCAGGAGGCAGCGAGGTGGCTCCATGGATAGGAGCACTTGGCTTGGGATCAAGAAGACCTGAGTACAAATCCTGCCTCAGAATAGCTGTGTCACCCTATGCATGTCACTTAACCTTCTTTATTTCAGTTTCCTTATCAGTCAAATGAGCTGGAGGAGGAAATCCACTCCAGTATCTTTACCAAGAAAACCCCAACTGGGATCATGAAGAGAATGACATGACTGAATAACAGCAATGTAGAAGATTCTCAAATGTATCTGTATTCAGTTTCAGTCTCTCTCCCTGAGCTTCACTTTTGGATCTACCATCTACTTGATAGACATTTCTATCTGGGTATCTGTCAAGCCCTTCAAACTTTAAGATCCGAAATTCAGCGGTGACAAAGGCCTTCCCCAGTACCTGAAGTGCACTCCCTTTTCATCCGTAGCATGCCATTCTTACTGTCAGCTAAGCACCAGCTCTTCCGTAACTTCTTCTCATGTACTCTTTAATTCTGAAATTTTTTTATCTTTGCCTTTTCCAAATTCTACTTCATCCTTGCTTTTTTGCATACTTGTCAGTACTATATAATTTTTCATCTTTGTACCTCTGTGCCTAGTATAGTGCTTGCCCGGAACTTAATAATCAGGTTGAACTTGTTAGTTGGTGTTATATTTAGTTACTATCTTATTGCTGTGGTGTTGGGGGAGGTGGTGGGGAGAATTACTATTGGGAACTACATTTAAAGACTTCCTAAGTGTGGAAAGTTTCATTAATTCAACAGTCATTTATTAATCGATTGCTTTTGCATGCAGTTAGCCAGGTCTGTGTATCTGTGAACAGATATAGTCTATAATTTTTCTTCTATACAGGATTTATGGAAGGGCATGGACAAAAATTGCTCAGTATGAGAGGGTATGGATGAATTGTATGTAGTCTGTAGTAATTGAGGAATACTTAATGAATGCCAAATGCTTAGGTGCTTTTGGGGCACAGAATGGGTACTTAATATTAATTGAACTGAGTAAAATGACATTTAAGGTTTTTGTCAATTCTGAGATTGTACAACAAATGTTAAAATGTAGGGCCTGCCCAGCAGAAAAGCATACGTTGAAATAAAAAAAAATGAATCTGATGCTGAATCATATAACCAAACCAAATTTAAGCATTTTTTTAATCTTTGCAGATCAAAAAGGCTACAGAAGCTTTGTTGGGATATAGAAAGAACAAACACAATGCTAATACATTGCTTTTGAATGAAAACGAGAATGTGTTTTTAATGGTGACATTATGGAAAATTCCCCCAAATGGAAAAGAAATCAAAATGTAAGTTCCTCTAAAGCTCTATGTGTGCTTTTGCTTTTAAATGCTTTGTTTCTTTGTCCCATTAGCAAGTGCTTTTTATTACTTGCCACTACTTGGCAGTTTCAATAATAACAGTAACTTATACACATGTAGTGCTTTATAGTTAACAAAGGGCTACATTTGCATTATCTCACTTGTTCTTCACATCATTCCTGTCCACATGAGGAAAGTTCAAGATAAAGAAGTTCAAGATTACTCTTCTTTTACTTGGCAGAGCCAGAACTTCACAATCCAGTCTTCCTTGCAGTGAATTTTCTTAGGCTTCATCCCACTTCTACTTAAAATCCAGGATGTTATTTGTATCTGAGTGATAGGAGTGGGGAGTGTCAGAGGAAGGGCCCTGTCTTCCTTTTTCTCTCTATTCTGTCCCACTTGTTGAACTCATCAGCTCCCTTGGGTTCAGGTATCCTCTTTATACAGATGATTCCCAGGTGTAGTCTCCTAAATGCCGGTCCTGTGTCACCAACTCCCTTTTGATCATCTGAGTTGTCTTTCAAGCATTTCAGAATCAATGTGTCTAAAATAGAATCTTCTCTCTCCTCTGAACCCACCTGTCTTTTGAGCTTCCCTATTATAGTCAGTTCTGCTATAATGCTTGTTTTGAAAACATGAATTTGTTGCAGTGGGATTACTAAATAAAGGAAACAAGTTGAGCATAATTCAGATTTTATTGGCTTATATGCATTTTCATCTGGGAGCAACAATGAGAAAACAGACTGGTACCACTTCACAATAACTCGCAAGCTAGAACCATTCTGGCCACGCTTTGGTCCACTCCACCCCTTGCATCCTTGAGTTGTGGTTGCCTGCCGAAGACATCCTTTTACTAGTAGCTCTTGACTTTTCCCTGAGATATCCAAATCCCTATTCCTCTAATAAATGAACTCAACTGAGGTAGATGGGATTTCAGGGTTCAAGCAGGGAGGCACTTACTGGACCCCCCAAGATGGAGAGGGCAAACTGGACATCAGAGGGTCAGAGGTAGTACCAAAGCTCCTGGATCACTTCTTCAGTGGTTGTGAAGAAGCCCCTCAGCATGGTGCATCCCACTTCTAACACCAGAAATGTCAACTGGCTAAAGCCCACCCATCAAAACACAGAGAAGTTCAAGCTGGGTTGAAAGCAGAAAAGTTTTATTAGGAGGAAAACCAGATGGTAGTGCTGGGGGACTGCAGTACAAAGTACAAAGGAGCCCACAGCCCAGGAGAAGCTGGGGAAATTTTACTTGAAAACCACAAAGAGGAATCAAGGAGGGGTGGAAAAAGAAAGGACAGTCTTTCCCAGGAACCAGTGGATATAGAAGCAGGATGTTTTGCAGGAACAGTTGACCTCAAACCTGGTTTGGGCCAGTTTTGGGGGGCACAGCTCAGCAAGGTCAGCCAGTAGACACCAGCAAGGACATCTGTGAGTGAGCAAGACTTTGGCTACTACAGGCTCTCAATTGGCTCCTTTCAGCAGACAGGCTTACTTTATGTCCAGTGCATCTGCCTGGGAAGGTGACTCATATAAAACATGCATTAATCTCAGGGTTATTTCCATACACTCAACTTTGAATGAGTAGGGTTTTTTTTTTTCCTCATAATCTTAAGAAATTAGCATATACATCTCTATTGAGGACTACCTTTTTCCAACTAAGACTTTCTAGGCCTTTCTAAGCAGATATCCAAACCATTAACTCTGAAGAAAATAATATGTCTGGTCAGGAGTTCTTAACCTGGACTCTGTGATCTTGTTTTTGTGTTCTTTTTTGTTGTTTTTTTTTTAAAGAATGTTTATCCCTCAATTAAATGTAAAATAATTTTTAACATTTTTTTTATAATTGTTGAGTTCCTAATTCCCTCCCTCTCCTTCCCTTTCCCCTCCTTGAGAAAGCAAGCACTTTGATATAAATCATACATGTGCAGTCATGCAAAGTATATTTCCATGTTAGCCTCGTTGCAAAAGAATACAGAACCCCCCCCCCCAAAAAAAAGAAAAATAAAGTTTAAAAAGTATGGTTCATTCTGAATTCAGACTTTGAGTTTTTTCTTGGCAGTCGAATAGCATTTTTCCTAAGTCCTTCAGAATTGTGTTGTATTATTGTATTACTGAAAAAAGCTAAGTCATTTGCAATTAATCATTGTGCAATATTGTTACTGTGTACAATGTCCTCCCAGTTCTGCTCACTTAACTTTACATCAATTCATATAAATCTTCCAGGTTTTTCTGAAATTATCCTGCCCATCCTTGATTTCCTTAGGCCTGGTCTCTGCCTGTCTCTAGCTTGGGAACCCCTTAGAGCCATGACAATCATGTACCAAAACATGTTCAGCCATTTTCCAGTTGATGGACATCTCCTCAATTCCCACTACAAAATGAGTTGCTAAGTATTTTTGTACATACAGAATCTTTTCCTTTTTCTTTGATCCCTTTGAGATACAGACCGAGTAGTGGTATTGCTGGGTCAAAGGTCATATAGTCCTTTGGGCATAGTTTCAAATTGCTCTACAAAATAGATCAATTCATAATTCCACCAAGAGTGTATTAGTGTGCCAATTTTTTGAACTTGTTTTAAACTTTGATAACTGATTACCAAAATAATCCATGATAAAAAAAAATTTAAGAAGTCCCACTTTAAGGTATATGTTATAATTACATGAATTTTAAACACATTTGGTCGTATGCTTTATTTAGCCCCAAATTTGTTGGTATCTGTTTGTGATGGTTTTCTTAAATTTTGTTTTCCTATATCAATGAGAAATGTGTTTTGTCAGTAATGAGTTATTAATGGTATCTGCTTAGTGAAATATTTTAGAAATGAAAATCTTTCTTGAATAAAAAGTAACTGTCAATTTCATTTTGCATTCTTTCAGACACAAATGTTTATCATCTGGCCTACCTATTAGCTAGATACTGGGACTTTTTACCAGGGCTCTTTTATTTTTACAGACCTTTGCCTCACGGTATTAGACCTGATACGAAAGAAGTTTGTTTATTTACCAAAGATGAATCCAATTTAACTTCAGAACAGACAGAAAATTTCTATAAGCAGCTTTTGAAAAAGAATGGGATTACAAACATTACTGAGGTAAGACAAAGTTAATGCTTTTTAGGACTTCCCCAAATGATGGGGATTTGTGTGTGTGTGTGTGTGTGTAAAACCTGTTGATCCCTCTGTAAAAGTTTGTAATGTAGTTGAAATGATAATTATATTTCTTAATTCCTTTTTTAGGGACATTCTATTGAGCAGTTATAAAGTACAGATAAGTTAATTCTACTTTTAAAAAACATGGAGAATAAACCAGGAACTGTTTCTTGGGAAAGTTCACAAATTAGAAAAATGAGTGTGTTATATAATTTATATTTATACTTTTAGTTATTTCAGGTACTGCCTTCCTTTATTTTGGTTTTGGACTCTTGGTTTCCTTACATTGTAAAATTTAATAGGATTTATTAAAGTAGTTTTGCTTTTTAAAAATTTTTTTCCAATTACATGTAAAAATATTTTTAACATTATTTTTTTCAAATTTTGAGTTCCACATTTTCTCCATTCTTCCCTTCCTTGACCCATCATTGAGAAGGCAAGCAATTTGATATAAGTTCAACGTGAGCAGTCAAGCAAAGCAAATTTCCATAGTACTCATGTGGTAAAAGAAAACACAGCAAAAAAAAAATCCCAAGAAAAATAAATTTAAAAAAGTATACTTTGATCTGCATTCAGTCTTCATCAGTTCTTTCTCTGGAAGTGGATCATTTTTGGGTCATTTTATTGCTGAGAATAGCTAAGTCATTCACAGTTGTTCATCATACATTATAGTTCTTACTAAATTCAGTCTTCTTGTGTTCTGCTTGCTTTACTTTGCATCAGTTCATATAACCTTTCCCCTACCCCCAAGGCAATCAGGGTTAAGTGACTTTCCCCTCATCACACAGAGGTAGTAAGTGTCAAGGGTCTGAGGCCAGATTTGTACTCAGGGCCTCCTGACTCCAGGGCCAGTGCTCGATCCATTGCGCCACCTATTTGCCCCCATAAAAGTCTTGATATAAGTTTTGCCAGGTTTTTCTTAAAGCATCATGCTCATTACTTCTTATTGAATAATAATGTTCCATCACAATCATACCACAACTTGTTCAGCCATTCCCAAATGATGGTCATCCCCTCAATTTCCAATTCTTTGCCACCACAAAAAGACATGCTATTAATATTTTTGTACATATAGATCCTTTTTTTTTTTTTTTAATTTCTTTGGGATACAGACCCATTAGTGGTATTGTTGGGTCAAAGGTTCTGCACAGTTTTATAGCCCTTTGGTCATAAGTTCAAATTGCTTTCCAGAATGGTTGGATCAGTTCACAACTCCTCCAACAGTGCTTTAGTTTCCCAGTTTTTCACTTTCCCCTCCAAAATTTGTCATTTTCCTTTTCTGTTATATTAGCTGGTCTTATAGGTGTGAGGCAGTACCTCAGAGTTTTAATTTGCATTTCTTTAATCAGTATTGGCAGTGAAGCTCCATTTTGTACCCAGTGCCAGCCAAGTGTCCCCAGTAATCTTCTGACCAGTTGTCAGACCCCTTACAATCTATGGGCTGAGAGCTAAGCATTCCTGAGCCTGGAATGGTCCCCCTCTCATTCTAGTGAGATAGACCTTTCCTGCTGATTTTCTAAGTTGTCTTGAGCTGGAATATTGTTTCACTCTGTCCTTTTGTCAGCTCTGCCACTCCAGAATTCGTTTTGAGGCATTACTTTAAAGTTGTTTAGAAGGGAATTTGTGAGAGTTCAGGTGAGTCCCTGCCTTTACTCTGCCATCTTGACTCTGCCCCCCAGCTAATGAAGGTTTTCAAAATATTTAGACCTCTTCCCAGTCATCAGTGATACATAAATTTATTTTTTGTACTTTCTAGGTCATCCCTTACACAAGATTAAAACATGAATATAAACCTTATGAAGCTAAACGGCGCCTTTTGAGCAGTTTTGACCTTTTCCTTGCTGATGAAAGAATTAGACGACTTTTACCCTCACACATAGGAAAGCATTTCTATCGCAGAAAGAAGTAAGTTGTTTTTCTTTAGTGAACTGTTCAATTATTGCTAGCCTTCCTCAAATGATTTCGTGATGGTGGTTTGGTTTTGTTTTCTTCTTAGGGTACCTTTATCAGTAGACCTCACGACTAAGAATTTGTCAGAACACATCAATAAAATTGTCCAGGGAACTTCATTAACTGTCACTAATCATGGTTGTTGCAAGTAAGTAATAGTGTGTTTGTTTCTTTAGCTTGAAACAATCTTGTGAATTTTTTAGGATATTTTGTAGATTGAATTTTTTCTCCACATTGACAACAGAATCTACTCCTTAGAGTTTCTGTACCACTTTAACTGGTTAGTGTTAACTTAAGCGTTCGTTGAAAATGTTAATTTCTATATTTCTATATTTCTTATTTCTATAGCTTTTTATTTGCTCTCTTTTTTAAATTCATGAATGCAATCATCATTTCCCAGTTATCCAGTTTTCCATTTTATCGGAGGAAAATCTTATCAGTTCTGTTGACATTGTCACCTGTTATGCCTAAAAATTCATTTCAGGAAGCACCTAGCAAGTGCCTATAGTGTGCTTGGAACTGGGGATACAAAAACTAAGAAAGGTATTTCCTGTTCTGAATGAGAGGGAAGAAGTCATCAAAGAGATAAAATATGTAGAAAATTAACAATTTTTTTTAAATAACAATTGGGGGGGGGCTAGGCAGTGGGGTTAAGTGACTTGCCCAGGGTCACACAGCTAGTAAGTGTTATGTGTCTGAGGCCTGATTTGAACTTGGGTCCTCCTGAATCTAGTGCTGGTGCTCTTATCTACTGCATCACCTAGCAGCCCCTTGGCTGATGCTTTTTAATGCAGCCAATGAAGTGAAAAACGTCACCAAATCACGTTTTCGTGGTGTGGTTTTGTTGGCTGTTTTAATGTCCATAGCATGGTGGAAAGGGCACTACCCTTGGAGTGCACGGACTTGGCTTTGCTTCTTACTGCCTGAAAGACCTTAATCAGGGCTTTTAACTATTCTAGTCATTCATCTCTTCCTCTGTAAAATGAGAGCATTGGATTAGGTAACCCCTGAGGTTTCTTCTAGGTCTAAATCGATGATCCTAGGAGCCTAAGAATATGCTGCTTTGGAGATAGAGTTCATTTAGATTCACTCTGTGCCAGTGTTTTCATCTGTTAGTGTAGCTGATTAGGCCTTGACTGTTCTTTGGATGATTAAATGATTTGGTTGAATGTAGCAGGCTGGGCTATGGTGGTACTTTGGACAGAGCAAAATTAAATTCATTGGCTTATACATTAAAATTTACTACTTAGTGTTTTCCTTTTACTGCAGTCATTTGTTTTATACAATTTTGCATGGGTTCACGAGATTTTAATCACATATTCTTTAATTTTTTAGCATGAAATTACATTCTTACCATATTTGGTGTTCAGAATACCTTTGAAAAATAGTCCGTTTTCCCAAGTCTAGCTGTTATTATAACCCATAGTTTTCTTTTTTCTTCTTTTTTGGGGTGGTAGTAATGATTACAGACATTTATAAACAAGCAAAATATTAAGACTTTAATAGAACCACTTCAGGGCCTTATGTAATTATACTCTCTCTCTGACCTCTGATGATAAAGAGGTTCAGAGAGGATACATAGATCATTTCACCATATTAGAACATAGGCAGTTTATCCTTATTCATATTTATCTTTTTATACTTATCTTCTCTCCTGTGTTTGAACTTCAGAGTTTTATGCAGCTTTTAGTCTTTTTATCACAAGTACTTGGAAATCCTCTGTTTCATTAGAGGTCCATTTTTTCCCATGTAGTTATACTTACTTTTTTTGGGTAAGTTATTCTTTTCGTTTCTGCATTACACTATTCCAGGCTGTCAACTCCTTTATAATGGTGGCTCCTTAAACCATGTGGTCCTTACTGTATCTGACTCTTTCTTTCTGGTTTATTGGCAGCATTTTTTTCTTGGACCTTGAATCTGAATTTTGGCTATAAAGTTGCTGACACTTTACATTTTAGGGTTTCTTTCAGGAGATGACTAATGGATTTCTACTTTGCCCCCTCTGGTTGTAAGAGATTTGGGCAGTTTTCTTTTTAGATTTCTTGAAATAGGATTTTGAGGTTCTTCTTTTGGTCATAGTTTTCAGGAAGGGCAATGATTCTTAAATTTTTTTCTTCATGATTTATTTTCTAGGTCTGTTTTGCTATGAGATACCTTATATTTTCTTGTAGCTTTTCAGTCTTTTGGCTTCGTTTTTATAGAGGCAACTACATGACACAGGTTATAGGGCTCTGGGCCTGGAGTAAAGAGAAAGAACCAAGTTCAAGTCTGTCCTAAGATCCTTATTAGCTGTGTGACCCTGGGAAGTCATTTAACCTGTTTGCTTTCATTTCCTCAAGTGTAAAATGGGGATAATAATAGTACCTACCTCCCAGCATTGTTGTGAGCATCAAATTAGATTGTAAAGTGCTTAGCACAGTAACACGCACATAGTAAGTGCTATATAAATACTAGTTACTTTTTTTTTAATTCTTACTTCTTCATATCTTAAAGATGCACTGGCATTTATTTGATGCATTCTGGTTTTCAGGGAATTTGTTGCTTTGGCAACGTTTTACTTCTGATGCTAGCAAGTTGTTAATTCCCTTTCTATGTCTTTCTTTCATAGCTCTCATTTTGTTTTCTTATTTCCCTTTAGTGTTCTCATTTCATTTATAAAAACATTATTTAAAAACCTCTTTTTTTTTTAAAACTCTTGCCTTATCTCTTCCAGAAATTCTAGTTGTGTTTTTCTTTGAGACTTTTACAGATATTTTGGAGTCATTCTCTTCTGGATTTATTTCTTGAGCTATGATAGCTTTTTATGGTAGGGTTTCTTTTTTTTTATTTGCTCATTCCTCTAGAGCAAGGACACATGTACTGTGCAAAAATCCAACATTCAGTTGACAAAGACCTAACTAAAAGTGGAGAAACCAGCTAAATGTCGTTTTAATTGGTCAAAGTAAGACATTGTAAGTCAGCCTAGTATCAGTAGAACACATGCCTGAGCATTTCTTCACAAAATAAAATCATATCAAAAATATGTTGTATCCCACATAATTCATACACCATTATATTTAATGTCTTTACCACCTAGTGATTTCCCTTTTTATTAAAATGAGGGAAAAGTTTTCATTTTTATGCATAAGTCTTATCTCTTTACTTTCAGTACCGCACGTGTGGGTCACACAGGAATGCCTGTAGATCACCTAGTGGAAAATATTGTTGCAGCTGTAGATGTGCTTTCAGAAAAGTTGCCCGAGGTACTATGCTTTGGATGTGCCAGTTCTTACTGTGTTAAAAGATATTCTTTGGATAGCATACTATTTTAAATTTTTCTTTATTCACAGAAGTGGGAGAGTGTAAAAATTCTACACCTGAAAACAGAAAAATCTCTTTCCCTTCCAGTCTTTTCTTCATTTGTCTCCCATTTGGGTTCTCAGAAAAGTAAGGTAAGTAGTAGATTTAGAGTTAGCCTAGATATAGATGACATAAAACTGCTAAATGTTGAACTCTCTCTAATTATAGTGTAGGAAGTAACCATTACATCCCTGATATGGTAGTTAAGAATTTTCACTAAAAGTTTTTGATGGTTTTAAAATACTTTTGTATCCATGCTACCACAATTGTGTGAGATACTTGTTTTTCTTACCAGCATCAGTTGGGTTTGGAATGTCACTAAGTTTTGGGGAAATGATAGCTTTCTACTTTGTGGGTTGTCAGAGTCCCTTAATCTCCTCTCCCCCCCCCCCCCATATGGAGGCAGCCCAGGGTGAACATCTGTCCTGGCACCAAAAGAAACCTTCCTGAGCTCAAACTCTGACTTTAATTGGGCATATGACTGTAGCAGGTCGCTGACCCTCCCTGGGTTGGTTTTCTCATTTTCAAAATAGGTCTATTAATTTGCATCGTTGACCAGGATGTTGTGAGCAGAGTGACAGACATGTGAATTATAGTAGTTGTATTCCACGAGCTCATTAGTATTTGCACAAAGTAATACAACGAAAGAATTAGTGTTATTATTTCTGGCAGAGGGTGAGGTTGAAATTATTGGGTATGGTTTAGGAATAGTCTCTGCATAATTCATAAACCACTGACTCACCTTCAGATACTATTACAAGTAGCACCTGAAAGGCTTTGTATTAGAGATTTCTAGAATGATACTTTAGAATGAGATGAATTTTGAAATAAAAATGCTTCAAACTAAAATTTTGCTCATTTTCACTGATTGATAGAAGCAAAAGCAAGACAAGAAAGTGGCCCCCAAACCTGCTCAGGCTGCCAGGAAGCCTGAAAGTGAGTGTGCTTTGGATGGTCACAAGCTCGAGGTGGAAAAGGAGGGCAGAAGAGAGCCTGACTCTGAGGATGAGATTCCACAGCTGGTTCCATTTCAAGCAACATCGCCTCAAAAGTGCCCAGAGGTAATTTTGTTACTTTTTAAAAAATGCACATGTTTAAAAGAAACCTTTCTATGCAAGATTTTAAAGTAAAAAGTACTTTGATAGGAAACACCCAGGCATAGGGAAGATTGTCTTATTTTGTTTTAGGTTTTGACACCTATAGCTTTAGTTAATGAAATACGTATCTGGAAAAATAGTCCAATTTTTTTTTTAATGTGGTGAAGAATGTTTAGTAGAGTTTTTTAGTGGCTGTGAGTTCATATTTCTATATTATAGTTCTAAGAAACACTAACCATAGTTATAAACCTTGATTATTAGCAGTGAAATCATGAGAATTTCCAACACTATTTTCAAAAATGATTGGGTAGGATCTCCCCTTAGATGTGTTCTGTCTATCCTAGAGCATTTCTGAAGCCATAGAATTTAGGCTGCCTAGTGATTTCCACACTATAGATCAAATTATGCTACATATCATAGGTTCCTTAGCCTCCTTTGTTACAACTCTATGTCTCATCTTATATAATTTTCTTTCTTCCTGCCTTAGGTTTCAGGTGGGCTGATTAAAAGTGAATAAAGCAAAAGAAAATTTTTTTAAAAAGTGAATAAAGCCCTTGTCCTTCAGTATGAATTGGCCCTTTTTTCAGATGTCTTATAATCTTAATTCATTTATATACATAACATCCATTAGTGTATGGGGAGGTTCACTTTTAAGAATGAGGAAAGTGAGACACCAGGCTGCTAAAGTATTAGGCAAGTGCAAAGTCAGAATTCATGTCGAAATCTTCTGACTATCCATTTGTCCAGTATGACCCTGTATCTGCCTCCTGTGGTAAATGAAAGGGCGATCCATACTTGGAGGGGACAAGGGGTATCTTTTGTGATTAATTATGGAAACATGGAGGGAGGAAAGACTACACTGGGTTAATGTGCTGGAACTCACATCCTGCTTTCTTTGAAGAATGGGAACTACTCGTTTATCGCATAGGCTTAGTTATGATGGTCTTTCTCTTTATCAGCTTCAGGAAGCAGTGCTAACACAAGAGTCTACAGAACAGAACCTCAGCACTGAAGTACCGCAAGCTAAAACTCCTGGTAAAAAGAGAAGGGCCTTCAAGGCTCTGGAGACTCCAGAACAGATTGACAAAGCTTCCACAAAGGTGAAGAAGACTCCAGCCCCTGGCAAACCTAAGAGGCCAAGGATCCAATCCCCAAAAAACCTGAGAAAGAAAGTAATTCCTCAGTAGAAGTCAAAGCCCTGGAATACACTCCCAAGAAGTTAAGAGGTCATTTACTACTCATACTAAAGTAGGGAAAATTGATTTTTGCTTGCTTTTCTAGTTACTTCACACAGTGAAAAAAATAAATGGAATTCAGTGCCACATCAGTGTGCTTCAGTTCCCTTAATATGCCGTAGCATTTGTTCCTGAGCCAGTTTTCCTCATGTGTTTAAAATATGTCTGCTTTACTGATTTTCTTGCAAATGTTAACTTTAGCCTTATGTCTTAAACTGTTTCTTGTCAGATTTAATGTATTTGTTTACTGTACTAGTAACTTAAAATAAGTCTGGCTATTCCGGAAAGCACTCAGTGAATTGATACAGAGTTAATGAAGGCAAGAAGACTGCTATTTGCATTTGTAAGACCTTTCCCCTTTCTCTTTTCCCGTATTTTCTTTAAGGCCAAAAGATTCCAAGCTTATAATGTAGGTTATCTATAGAGTTAGAATATTCAGAATAGACTAGGTCTAATGGTTGAAAATACTGTTTTGGGTTGGTTTTTTTTTTTTTAAACAGTAAAAATGCATTATGTTTGCAATCTTGGAACTTTCACTGTTTATGATCAAAACCAAAGACAGGAAAAGAAATTTATGTGCATTCATTTCATTCCTCTACCTTTTATTTTAGTTTGACAATCCCAGAAACGAATAGATCATTTTAAAGATTTTCCACCCAGGAACAATTTCTCAGTTAGTCATAGTTTAAAATATAGATAGCAGAATAAAAAAAAATCAAAATAGTGAAGGAACCACTATAAAGTTTAGATAGTTGCTATAATCTCTTTGGACTACCAGAAGACTTGGGAGTTTGGCAGTATATTTTAGTCAATAGAATGTGCTTATATTTTGCTTTTTTGTCTTAAACTTTCCTACTTCTAAATAAATGTAATTGAAAAAGTGTTTGAGTGCTGTTTAGGTATTGTTTCCCACTGAAGTTTTAGTAAGCAGTAGGATTTTTAATCACATTTAAGAATGTGGAATGGATTTACTTTGTGTTCTTTTCCTATGGAAGTATCATATGAAGAATTCTTCTTAGCCTGGGGCACCTTCCCAGGTTGACCTTATTAATAATCCCAGCATCTCAGAGTTGGATGATGTAAGCAAACCCTAAGCAGGAATCTCCTTGAGGACATTGCTAGCAATTTACTGTTACTTCTGAACAGCCTGATCTGCAAGTTTTTCCTTTCACTGAACTGAAACCTGGCTCTCATTTTAACACATGACAGGGGGGAAAGACATCTGACATCAGAAGACCTGAATACATGTCATAACTGATGGCTTTCTTTACCTGTGTGACCTTGGGCAAGTGACTTAATCACCCTTGGCCTCACTTGTAAAGTGCCAGCCTTATATCTGTCATCACTGCTCCTGGTTCCTCCCTTAAGGACTAAGCCAGGTAAATCTAAACTCTGCATGATAGCACAGAGGATAAAGCACTCAGGTCAGGAAGACCTGAGTTCAAATACAGCCTTGGACACTTAGTAGCTGTGTGACATTGAGCAAGTCATAACCTCTGTTTATTTTCCTCCCAGGGTGGTTACAAAACACCTAGTACAGTGCCTGGCACATAGTAAGCACTGTATAAATGTTAGCTAACATTATTCTTATAGGCACTGTGCTAAAGTCTGCTGGGGGTGGGGACAGGGGTGGTTAGGGTAAAAAGAAGGGCAAAAATAGTCCCTACCCTCAAAAGTTTATAAGTTTCCTGTTCTCCCACAAGGTCCTACCTTGAAATCCCCTAGTTCCTTCAACTAATCTTAGTGTTGATAGTATTTCTAATCACTGGACAATAGATTCAGAGATGGAAAAAATTTTAAAGCGTGTAGTAAGGACTTTGTGCAAAATTCTATGCTGAATATATTGGGTATACAAACATAAAAGCAACGCTTCCCTGCTGTCAAGAAGCTTTTTTTTTTTTCAAAAATCACAAACATTTATTTCCTGGAACTTACAAAGAGCTTCAGTTTCATTATTTTAGCTCCATGCTGTCAGGCTTCCTTGTGTTTTATATTTAGTGTGGGGATCTTGAGACTGAGAATTCATTGGCACAAATGATAAGAGTGTTGAAGCCCACATCTTTTTGCTATGTCTTCGGTAGCATCATCATGTAAATAAGAGACTTACATTCTAATAGACCATAACACATGTAGGAGGTTTCACCTGCAAGTCAAATGGAAAGCCCTCATGGTCTGTAGAATGTGACAGCAAAGCAGATGGTAATGGAGGAAATAAGCATTTTTTGAGCTAGGTTTGGTGACTTTCAGGAAGAATAACTATAGTTACCTAGGAATTATAAGAGGTTAAAAAAAGGAGCCAGCAATAAAACCCGGTGTGTACTAAAGAATGGAAAAATAAAGACAAACATTTGCCCTCAAAAAACTTGTATTCTGTCTGGAGAGACAACATGGACACATAAAAGTATTTATGAGACAAGTCAAGGAACTTTCCCAAGGTCCATGCAGGTCAGAGGTGATGGGACAACTGTTCTAAAATAGATAATCCAAAGATCGAATTGATTGAAATGAGGGGGAAAAGAGTCAACTCAGGCCCAAGCAACATCCTCTACCCACTGTCCCTACAGTAAGGAGAACCACCCAAATTTAACTTAATAGTATTTTTTTTTCCAATTACATGTAAAGATAGTTTTCAACATTGATTTTTGTAAGATTTGGAGTTCCAGATTTTTCTCCTTCCATTCCCTCACTCTTCTCCAGGACAGCAAGCATTCTGATAGAGGTTATACATGTACAATCATGTTAAACACCAAAATTTCATGATGGGGATAGCATTCGTTATGGCCTCCCATATCCTCCAGCAGGTGAGGCTCAGAATAAACTGCAACCTGTGATATTAGGGAGGGAGGCAGCTAGGTGGCACAGTGAATAGGGATTAGAGGCAGGAAGACCCAAGTTCAAATCCATCCTCAGACACTTTCTGTACAACTCTACATAAGTCACTTAAACCTCTGCCTCACTTTCCTTTTTTTTAACTTTAATATTCTATTTTTGCCTCAGTTACAGATAAAGACAATTTTAATATTCTTTTTTCAAATTTTGAGTTTCAAATTCTCTTCCTTCCCTCCCCACCATTGAGAAGGCAAGCAATTTGACATAGGGTATACATGTGTAATCATGCAAAACACATTTCCATGTAAATCATGCTGTGAAAGAAAACGGACCAAAAAAAAAGAAAAATGAAGAAAAAGTATCTTTGATCTGCATTCAGGCTCCACCAATTCTTTCTCTAGAGATGGACAGCATCTTTCATCATAAGTTCTTCAGAATTGTCTTGAATCATTGTATTGCTGAGAACAGCTAAGTTATTCACCGTAGATCACCGTACAATAATGCTGTTACTGTGTATAATGTTCTCTTGGTTCTGCTCATTTCACCTTGCATCAGTTCATGTAAGTCCAGGTTTTTTCGAGAGCCTCCTGCTCATCATTTCTTATAGCACAATAATATTCCATCACAATTATATGTAACAACTTGTTCAGTCATTCCCCAATTGATAAGATATCCCTTCAATTTTCTTTTTCTTTGCCACCAATAAAAGAGTTGCTATAAATATTTTTGTTCATATAGGTTCTTTTCCTTTTTCTTTTTTACTTCTTTGGGATACAGAACCAGTACTGGTATTGCTTGGCAAAATGGTGTGCGTGGTTTTATAGTCCTTAGACTATAGTTCCAAATTGCTCTCCAGAATGGCTGAATCAGTATATAACTTCACCAACAGTGCATTAGTGTTTTAATTTTCCCACATCCCCTCCAACATTTGTCATTTTCCTTTTTTGTCACATTAGCCAATCTTATAGGTGTGTGGTGGTAGCTCAGAGTTGTTTTAATTTGCATTTCTCTAATCAATAGTCATTTAGAGCATTTTTTCATATGACTATAACTTTGATGACTTTGTCTGAAAACTGCCTGTTCATATCCTTTGACCAAATATCAATCGAAGAATGGGTTTTATTTCTATAAATTTGACTCAGTTCTCTATATATTTGAGAAATGATGTCTTTATGAGATAAACTTGCTATAATTTTTTTCACAGTAATGATTATGTATTTCTCTTCATCCTATCCTCATTTATCCTATTCTGTCTCTCCTTTCACCCTGTCCATTCTCAAAAGTTTTGCTTCTGATTTTTACCTCCCCAGTCTTCCCTCCCTTCTATCAGCCGCACCCCTCTTCTCTTATCCTCTTCTCCTCCTATTTTCATGTAAGGTAACAGATTTCTACACCCAACTCAGTGTGTGTTATTCCTTCTTTGGGCCAATTCCTGTGAGAGTAAGGTTCATACTTCCCTCTTCCCTTCCCCCCACTTGCTTTCCACTGTAAAATCTCTCCTGAGCTGTTTTTATGTCAGATAATTTACCCCATTCTACCCCTCCCTTTCCCTCTCTCTCAGTGCATTCTTCTTTCTCACCCCTTAATTTAATTTAATTTTTTGGATAATCATCCCATCATATTCAACTCACACCTGTGCTTTCTATCTATGTGTACTCCTTCTAACAGCCCTAATAATGAGAAAGTTTTTAGGAGTTACAAGTATCATTTTCCCATATGGGAATGTAAAGAGTTTAACCTTATTGAATCCCTTATGATTTCTCTTACCTGTTTATCTTTTTATGCTTCTCTTGATTCTTGTATCTGAAAATCAAATTTTGTATTCAGCTCTGGTGTTTTCATCAAGAGTGCTTGAAAGCCCTCTATTTCATTGAATATTAATTTTTTCCCCTGAAAGATTATACTCAGTTTTGCTAGGTAGGTGATTCTTGGTTGTAATCCTAGCTCTTTTGCCCTCTGGAATATCATATTCCAAGCCCTCTGACCCTTTAATGTAGAAACTGCTAAATCTTGTGTTAACTCGACTATGGCTACATGATATTTGACTTGTTTCATTTTGGCTACTTGCAATATTTTCTCCTTGACCTGGGAGCTCTGGAATTTGACTATAATATTCCTGGGAATTTTCATTTGGGGATCTGTTTCAGGAGGTGATCAGTGGATTGTTTCAATTTCTATTTTACCCCTTGGTACTAGAATGTCAGGGCAATTTTCCTTGATGATTTCTAGGCTTTTTTTTTTTTTTTTTTTTACCATGA